CCTAGCCAGCCAGGGCTCTCTGGTCCTGCAATATCCATGGACCTGCTGGACGATGGATGTTGCCAGACCAGAGAGTCCTGGATTTTAGAGGGGCAACCTATACTCACCTTGGTGGGGAAAGAACAAGGTAGGAACTATTTAGAAAAGCTAAACATACACAAATCCATGGGCTCAGATTTAATGCATCCGAGAGTACTGAGGGAGTTGGCAAATGTCATTGTGGAGCCTTTGGCCATTATCTTTGAAAACTCGTGGAGATGAGGAGAGATCCCGGATGATTGGAAAAAGGCAAATGTAGTGCCCATCTTTAAACAAGGAAAGAAGGACAATCCAGGGAACTACAGACTGTCAGCCTTACCTCAATCCCCAGAAAAATCATGGAGGGATACTCAAGGAATCCATTTTGAAGCACTTGGAAAAGGGGAACATGATCAGAAATAGTCAACATGGATTCATGAAGGGCAAGTCATGCCTGACCTATCTGATTAGCTTCTATGATGAGGTGACTGGCTCTGTGGATATGGGAAAGTCAGTGGATGTGATATACCTTGACTTTAGCAAAGGTTTTGATACGGTCTCCCACAATATTCTTGCCAGCAAGTTAAGGGAGTATGGATTGGATAAATGAACTGTAAGATGGATAGAAAGCTGGCTAGACTGTTGGGTCCAACGGGTAGTGATCAACAGCTCAATGTCAGGTTGGCAGTTAGTTTGTAGTGGAGTGCCCCAAATATCGGTTCTAGGACCAATTTTGTTCAACATCTTTATTAATGGATGAGCTCAGCAAGTTCACAGATGACATTCAGCTAGGGAGAGAGGTCGGGTATGTCTACACAGCAAAGTTATTTTGAAATAATTGTACCAGCATCTACACAGCCAAACTGCTATTTCGAAATTAAATTGAAATAGTGGAGGGCCTATTTTGAAATTAGTAAACCTCCTTCCACAAGGAATAGTGCCAATTTCGAAATTGCTATTTCGAAATAAGCGCTGTATAGATGCTTATTTCAAAATAGGGGGCCTCCAGCCCTTCCCAGGGTGCCCTGCTGGCCGCCCCCCAGCCCTGGAGCCCTTAAAGGGGTAGACTCTGGCCATAGTGCATGTGCCAGCTACAGGCCTGCCAGCACAGAGCCAGCAGTCACTGACCCTCACCCAGTGGCCCCAGCATGAGCCAGGCAGCCAGTGCAAGCCAGCCCTCCACTGTTCCCCAGGACCAGTCTGCCAGCTCCCAGGAGTCTGCCAGGGGCCAGAAAAGGCAGGCTCCTGCCTGGTCCAGTGCGGAGATCAGAGACTAATTCAGGTTTGGGGGGATACCTCCAACGTCCATGATCTCCTCACTAAACGGAGGAATGCAACCATCTGCAGGCGGATGGTTGCCATTCTGGCCACCAAAGGTCACATGTGAACCCAGGAGCAGGTTCGCATGAAAATAAAGGAGCTGCGGCAGACATATGCCAGGGCCACAGGGGCAGCTCCCAACCAGGGGCAGACCCAGACTCTTGCCCCTATTTTGATGTCCTGGACACAGCCGTTCCAGAGAGGATGGAGAGAGGCTGTTCACAGTAGTGACGGATGGCAGTACAAGGAGCAATGGTCTCAAGTTACAGTGGGGGAGGTCTAGGTTGGAAATTAGGAAAAACTATTTCACTAGGAGGGTGGGGAAGCACTGGGATGGGTTCCCCAGAGAGGTGGAAGAATCTCCATCCCTAGAGGTGTTTAAGTCTTAGCTTGACAAAGCCCTGGCTGGGTTGATTGAGTTGGGATTGGTCTTGCCTTGGGCAGGGGGCTGGACTTGATGACCTCCTGAGGTCTCTTCCAGCTCTATAATTCTATGACCTTCCATGGTTCGACAAATTCTGTGCTTCTGCACCAGTCAGGTCCCGAGGCTGCTAGACTAAAGAGGTTCAACCTGTCATGTTGCAAAGGACCTTCGGCTTCCCTCCTACAATCTATTGAGTTTTTTACACACATTCTTCCTAACCTAGTTCAGTGTCTCCCAGCATGCTGCTTCAGTTTAAACTACACAGCTCCTTACCATTTCCCATTGTACAGTGATGGAAGCAACAGCAGGGTGTTAAGTCATAGGGCATTAGATAGGGCATTAGTGGATTTAACAAAATCCACTTATTGCTATGCTTTGGCCATACTGGCCAGGAAACAGTATGAAGTAATGCCATCCTTAAACAGGGTAATTGCTAGAACGGTCCTGACAGGATTTCATTAGTAATGATGCATATAATTCTTGCTTACTAAGAATTCTTCTGTAACCTGTCATCCTACCAAACACTCTCATAGAATAGAAATGACTCATATAGGCCTGCCCAGTTATCAGCCGAACTAGGTGAAATATGAATTCTTTTTTTTTTTTTTTTTGTAGTTTGCTGGCAGTTCCAGAAAACAAAATTGTTGCCATTCAAAAAGACAATGACATTTTCTGGCAAATTGAGAAATAAATTTTGTTCTGGGTAAAACACATTTTATTTTGATTTGGGGCATTCTGCGTTTTATTAAAAAACAAAAACAAAGCGATTGGAAGACAAAGTTATGTTAAATAGGTAAATTGAGACATTTTGATTTGAAACATTGAAATATTTGGGGGGGCTGGCTTGACTAAACCAAATGGCAAAATTGATGTGATTTCGCAAACTTTTTTCAGCATCACTGACACCGCATTGTTTGCTGCTAAAGGTTTTAGTCACAAAATTTCATTCCCCTTTAGTGGGGAGTTGATAGGAGCCATGCCTGTATCGGTAGAGACCTGCACGGATACAAAATTTGTATCCGTATCTTCTAGGGATGTGAAAGGTTAACTGGATGATACTTACCAGTTCTAGTTAGCTGGTGGAGGCTAGAGCAGCCCCTGTCTGCGGCAGCTCGGTCACATTGTAAGCAGAGACTCCTTCTGGAGCAGCCCCTGTCCATGGCAGTCCTGGGGTGGGTACACAGGTAAGGGCTGCTTCAAATAGGCTGGAGCAGTGGCAGGGTCTCTCCAGCCCAGCCGTGATGGGCGAGGGGGCCGCTCCAGTCTTAATTAGTTAGCCAGTTAAACTTTGTGTTTAGCTGGTGAACTAAACAAACAGGATTTTATATCCCTACTATCTGCACAAATGAGCCATAGATATCCGCTTTGGCAGATGCAGAGACCTGCAGATATAAAATGGATATCCGCAGATTTGCATGGCTCTAAATATTTGCTCTCCAGCCTAGTGCATTACCATCCTCTCCTCAAAGGAGACCGGCCATGTGGAGCAAGTCTGTGTGCATCACCCCTAAGAAAATTTGCTGGGCATTGATGCCAATGTTCCCTCCAATCTTTTCCATCCATGGGCGGAGTATTTTTATGTGCACCGGGGTATAAGTAAACGTGCTCTCCCAGTAGAAACAAAAAACAGCAGCTGTGGGGGCCACACAAGTGCACAGATTCGAGGGAACACTGGTTGATGCCATGGAAACCAGCGCTTACCCCCCCATCCATGCCTTGCCCAAACCTCCAGTGCCTCCCGCCACAGGGAATTCAAATGGAAGAGCTTCTTCGCTCTCAGATTACTGAAAGTGGGATTGCATCCAATGGCACCTTGGCTGTTTCTTAATGTGCTTAGAGTTTCTCTTCCTCTCATTTCTTTTGCATTGTGAGTGTGTGCAGTACAGAGGCTATTAGCAGGTCTCTGGCGGCTGTGTTTTTTCTTTGGTTTACACCTCTGCCTAATGCTTATCTCTAAAGTCACTGTACGTCTTTCTTGGCGTAGTCCCGTGAAAATTCTACCATTAGAGTTCTTTTCTCCTTAAGAACTCCTTATTGTGCGTAGTGCAGAGATCAAATGTCTCAATGCAGATTGTTACCGGGTTATGTCCCATTAAAATTACAAGAGTCAGCAGCACCAAGTAATGCTCAGCAGGAGGGGGATTTGTGGTTTCAACTACTAATTAACATTAGGCCGAAAGTACTTTGCTGAAAGGGCCCGATCCTTCACTGCTGGTGGGGTGGTGCTGATTCCCATGCAAGGCAATTGGTTTGCCAGTGTGAGCTGTCCTGTCATGTTCAATTGGCCATATTTGCCTACATAAATTGTGTGATCATCTCCAGAGTGGCTTTTCGGATTGCTATAAACCCATCCTGTTTTAAAATACAATTTAACCATTTAATTAGCTTAAAACAGGGGTCTACAACCTATGGTTCAGTATGGAACCAAATATGGCTCTTCTGTCGTTCCCAAAACATACAACTTTTTAAAGTAAAATGAAAAATTAATTCAAAAATTTAAAAATGCAAAATTTACTCGTGTAGCTTGACTGCCTGCACGAACCTGGACCAGTTTATGATGTAAACTTCAAAGAGATGTTTGAAAAGATGCAGCTGCAGAAGTAAATAAAAAATAAAAAGAAATAAAGTCCATGGGTACAGTGTTTCATTGATGCTATTATTAATCATCACGTCAATTATCAATTATGTGTCTCATTTTCGTGTGTCTATTATGGTGTCTATTTTCGGTCATGCAATGGGCATTTTTCTATGGCTTTTTGTCGATCGCTCATTCTGAATGTGGATGTAGTTTGGCTCTTTGGGTTGAAAAGGGTGCCAACCCCTGACCTAAAATATAATGGATTCATACCATTTATGAATCAGGCAGTACAATCACTTATGTACTGGATTGGGATCTTGCAGCCTGCTCTCAGTAAGGAGCGATGAGTGCATGGTTGCACTGGTCCAGAAGTAGAGAAAGGACCAAACTGTGATTCAGAGATTTAGATCCTGTTTCTTCCTTGTTCAGTGGGAGATATAATCTGCACCACCCTAAATCTGGTGGCCCCTGTTTGAGTCACCTCTCAGACTGATCCAGGGGCCGAGGAGCAAGTTGTAAAACTAAAATCTAGCTTTTAATATTCTGTACCTCTTTGTCTCTGCTTGCCCTACGAGTGTGCGGTGATGTTCTCCACGCTGTATTACCTGTGGAACTTTCAGTCCCAATGTAACTTACTCTACCTATTTGTTTCTCTTTCAGCCTGGTAGTTTTGGACAGTGCTTTCCCCAGAGGTGTAATGAGAAATGGCTTTAGGAAACAACACCCAGCGAAGTTATTCCATCATCCCGTGTTTCATCTTTGTCGAGGTGAGTGCGCTGCGCAGAGTCTGCAGCATTTTGGGTCTTGCTGGGATGAAGCCAGGGCAAAAGCAGCTGAACTCTGTAAGAATGAAGAGTGGCCAGTCGGCAGTTGTGAAATGTATCCTGTTTTGATAAAGACGTGACAAGGATTGTTCTTCACGCCTGAAGACAGCTTGTTTATTGAACAAGGCATCAGGGCTAGATTAGTATCGCATTACTGTCCCACACAAGGGTGGAAGCAGGTGTCCACCCCTCCCTTACAACCCTTGGTTCTGGACTTCCAACACTCCAGTCATCTGAAGTAGAGGGCTGTGCCCATGAAAGGTCATGATACCGTCTACATGTTTTGTTAGTCTATAAAGTGCTACCAGACTATTTGTTGTTTGTAAAGTTTTTTTAGCTCTATATAAGTTTGTCAGACTCCAGATCAAAGTGCAAAAGGATGAGCAGGTGCAGTATTCTCAGTTAATCCATCCCTGGAGCAGGTGAGAAGGGATTAGAAGGCGTGTTGGCTCTCTCTGCCCAGCTGACCTAGGAGGGAGTCTCATTTACCGCTGTAAGAGGGCACTGCACTCTGGAGAAAGAAGAATGGGAGGGAAGAATATTTATGTAGTTATAGGGATGTCTGAGGCATACAGCCCCTAGAGCCAACCGAGGTTGGTGCAGCATGGACACCCGGCCTTGCTCTGGGGGTGTATCTGAAATCTCAACCTACCATGGTTTATAGGCAGAGGGGCCAGTTGTTCAACTCTTCTGGCAGTCAGTTAGCAGTCACTCAGGCAAATGATCCCATAGAAGTCAAGTGAGGTGCTGCTTCTGTTTAAACATGGTGGAATCCGATGATACGACAGGTGTGAGTTCACTAATGTTGAAGTGAATGCTCACTAATTTATGTAAAGGATCCAACAACCAAGGCCTTTGTTTGCAGGGTACAGAGTTGGTTTTCTTTTATCAGCCTGGCTGGTTCTCTGATGGTCGGTTATTCACTTCAGTGAGATTGTTTCCTGTAATGATAAACATAAATGAATACAAAAACCTCCTGTTCCCTCCCCCAGCCAGGAAGCAGGTCATAGCTCAACCTGAGGGTCTGGATTTGGGCTATTTTTTCAGGGACACTTTTGTCAAAAGTTTATTTGGAAAGAGCTATATGGTTAAAGAGTCATAGGCATCCACCTATTGCTGTGTAATCCATACCCCCCCCCCCTACACCTGTTGTTGTCCCTTGATCCCGAATTGTAAAATTAACATTGTGGGACAGATTGTGACTAGGTCAGTGAGGGTGACAGGGTCAGGTGTGAGGGGCGGAGGCATAAGGAGAACCCATTGGAAAGGCCTAGTCCCAGTCTTTGGTCTCTGTGTTCTGGTCTAGCTCCCATTGAAGGCAATGGAGAGACCTTCAATTGTGTGGAACCACAGGGCCTTTTTTGGTGGGCTGTGAGTTAGCTTGAGGCCCCATGCAAGCAAGGGAGGCTACGCTCCACAGAGCAAGATTAGCAACCTCTACAAAAGGAGCTGGGATATGGAGCGCCTGCAGATGATGCCTCACACATCCAGCACTGTGCTTGCTCCCACTGAGAGAGAGCATCTCTGCCCCCCGACTTTCCCCCTTCTGAGAGTGCAGGGCAGTTTCTCTATGGACCTGATCAAAAGCCCATTGAAGTTGAGGGGAATTTTCCTATTGCCATGAATGAGCTTTGATTATTCCCTGTCATCACCACCAGAAATCTGATGGGCTGAAGAAGGTACTAGCTGTATAGGCCAGGGGCATAGTCACAGGGGCCAAGACTGATTAACCAGTTGTTATGGGAAAATGTTGCATATCATTGTAGAAACAGAGTAATACATCTCAAGAAGTGGCATATAGCAGACAGCTACATCTAGTGAGAAGTTTAGGGCAGCTGACCCTCTGTTGTGTCTGACAGTTGCCCTTAGGGATTTACCACTGACATGATGCCCAATTTTTCAAGGAATAGGTCTCTTTCTCCTGTGGAAACCTGACTAAAATTTCTGCGGTAACCTGAGAAACAAGAAAGGACAGAAATCCATCTGTCTTGATCTCCTCCATCCCCCACATTGCTTTTTTGTTCTACTATGCCTATGAAACGCCAGAAAGATGTGAAATAAGATGCTTTAAATGTATAGCCTGAATCATCTCTGAAGATTTTTTATCCCTCTAATGTGTGAGGGATGAATCCGATAGTAGCAGAGTCGACAGGGTTATAAATTGGCCCATAGACACAGCTGACATGAACATAAAAATAAATCAAGGGCCAGGAGAAAGGAAAGACCGCTAGTCACTACCTGAGCCTACCTCCCCTGTCCTTTAGCATGTTCGGTGTGATGACAACCGTCAATTTTTATTTAAGAAACAGAGTCAAAGACAGAGAACCAGTGTTAAAATGGATGATCTCTGGGCTGATGTTGGCTAATGCTAGCGCTTTTCATTGACTAGGCTACATTTTTTCCTCGTGTAACAACTGCTTGCCTCCTAGAGAGTGATACGGATTGTCCACGCTTAGCGCAACAGGCTTGGACTCTGAAGGCTCTTTATATTTATCCCAAGTATGATAGAACTGCACAGCGCTTTAGAATTTAACTTCCCACTGGGAAGGCAGAGCGGATGGACAGAAACCCCTTCATTCTGAGAAGCCACTTCCGCCCTTAATAAGCTTCCCTGGAAGTGTTTTGCTTTTCAAGCTGCTGGCAGGCTGTTGATTTGTGCTAGGTCATTTCAAATGTGCCTGCAAGAGGGACTGCTCTTTGTGGCCAGTTCTATACTAGTTCTAGTAGTTCTGTGCTTTGTAACACCAGCCCCCATGTCGGTAAGCGTGCTCCGGCCAGGAGAAGACTGAGGCTGATTTCTACACACCCCCAGCAGTGAGACCAGGAGCTGCCTTCCCCCAGCTAGCCGGAGCATGCTTACTTGGGAGAGCATGGGGCGGGGGGTATGTTTTCACCCTTGCAGTCCACGTTTACAAAAAAAAGCACACGTGCACATACACACGCACATACACATACAGTCCCAGAAATTCCTGCGTAGGGGCCTGGCCCTGAACCAGCGACTCTCAGCATTTCCTGGTGGCCTGAGGAGAGCTGGCTGATTACGTGGGGCTTCTCCTGCTTGTTTCCAATAGTTACGTCACACAAGGACATTGTGTGGCTTCGTCGTCATTCTTCTCCGTGTTTAGCCATTGCTGGTGCAGCAGCAGCATTATGGGATCACAAATGGGACGAGAGAGTCCACAATCTGTATGATCACCATTTATATTCCTGTTGAACCTAGAGCCCCCCCCCCCCCCTTTGGAACTGGGGCTGCAGTGTTAGGTGCTGCACAGACACACAGTAAGAGACAGCCCCTGCTTAGGAGAGGGACAAGACAGATTCAGGAAAGGGTAAACAGAGGCTTAGAGAGATGAAGAGATTTGTCCAAGGTCAAATACCATCTCAGTAGCAGAGCCAGGAAGAGAACTTTGGTTTCCTGGTTCCTAATTCAGACATGTATCCACTGGATCCCGCTGACAGGGAGGTTTAGATTGGACATTAGGAAAAACTTCCTGCCTGTCAGGGTGGTAAAACACTGGAATAAATTGCCTAGGGAGGTTGTGGAATCTCCATCTCTGGAGATATTTTAGAGCAGGTTAGATACACATCTGTCAGGGATGTTCTAGATGATTCTGCGTCCTGCCGTGAGGGCAGGGGACTGGACTCGATGACCTCTCGAGGGCTCTTCTAGTTCTAGTGTTCTATGATTCTATGGCATTGATCTTCCTTCCTCATAAGGTTTTCTCCACTCCATAAAGCTTAAGCACCTAACACTTATTTTCAATTTACGGCTGAGCTGAGCACCAAAGTTTCATGCCAGTACGTTATGGATAACACACTTGGCAAGGGGTTGGACTCGATAACCCCGTAAGGTCCCTTCCAGCTGTCCATTATTGGGATGCTGTGAATCCACTCTACAGCATGCTCTACAATGCTCTCAGAGTTTAAATGAGCTTAAGGCTGACTCTGAGAACGTGACACACACAGTTCACTGACTGTTTTATAACACTGACTGTTTTATAATTCTGATGCTTATTCAAACTTCCATTTTCAAGACCCATTTTCTTAATCTGATTTTTCTCCGATCAGTTCACTTATCTTAGCACAGGCATGTCCAAAGTCCTGCCCGTGGGCCAATTGCGGCCCGTGTTCTGGTTTAATACGGCCCCACAGGTAATTTGGCAATATCTATCTTTTATGGCCCCCAACGAATCCATATGTATTGAGATGAATACATTGTAAAATCTCAGTTAATGTCAGTTGGTCTAAATCAGTTATAAATATATTTGGACACAACATGTATACTTGGTGTTATGTTCCTGTTCATATTTTTTTAACTTAAAAGTTGACAGACAACCTTTATTACCAATAATATGTAATGTACTTTACAATGTTCCTGACATATATTTCAGCTTCCTGGATTTTTTTTTCATCTGGCCTTCAGATATGAAAGGCAGAGTGATTTAACACCTGTTTAGATTTGTCATCCATGTGACGAAATGAAAAGTATGCCGTTTGCAATAAACTTTGCATAAAATAGTTAATTTGCATTTAATTTTAATGGTTCAAAGAATGTCAGGCAAAATGGTCGGCTCTCACGCATGTTCACTTCATCAAATCTGGCCCTCTTTGAAAAAAGTTTGGACACCCCTGTCTTAGCAGTTAGTTGTTACAAAACCTGACCTGAAGGTGAATGGCTCATTCCGAGGACTTTCCCCTGGGGCTGACTTTTCCAGATTCCTTTATACATTCACATTGTGGACATTTAAATAAAGAGGTAACACACAATATCTAATCTGTAATGACAGAAATGTTAAATCTACATTTCAGTTTGTAATTTGAAAAGCTATGTCACATTAAAGGCTGAAAAGAACGTGATTAAAATAATTCAGTCATTTATCAAATATATATCTCTTTCTAAAGTATTCAAGGCAAGTATCTTGATTGTTCATTTTTATTATGTC